CCTCTCTCTTTACCTCTGCCTAATGACTGAACTCGTTCAAAGGTGCAGATGGCATTTACCATAATCTTAACTGTTTGCTCTCCTAATTTTACCTCTTTCAAACTGGAACACTCCGTGATGTAATTATTGTAAATATTCCTGTAAGTATAAAGGAAGCCAGAGTACCAGTGTCATGTGGCTGGGCTCTCTGGCAATACATACAGACTTCAGTTTCAATCTACTCTTGAGTGGGAGAGGCTTTAGTTTTTAAAAGACTTTCTACAGCACTTGCAACGCAAATAGGTCATATTATATACAGACTTCAACAAAAGTTAGGGACTACTTGCAAACACTCTGAGTGGTCTCCTTGGGTCGAACTGCACGTGGGCGTTTTTGGACTGATCCAGTGGTGTGATGGCGCTGCCTCAGGCGAACAATGACAGAGTGTGACACTGCAAGTCTTCTGGCAACTTCTCGGGCTCCAACTCCAATCTCCATCCATGCCATAGCTCTGGCAAGATCAAAGTCTCTCAGCTTTCGTCTTGGTGGTATGTTGATGCAATACCGGATTTGGCGCAAACGATGGCTTATATTGCCACCAAAGTGAGCACAGGTCGAGACCATACGTCCGTTTATGACGTGCACCAGAAATTTTAACTGAGGAAATCCTTGGTGTCGCAGAAAAGTCGATAAAAAACAGCAAATTTGGTTAAAATTCTCCGAAGATTTCCGTGCTGCACGTGGTGGTTTTGGTCCTTTAGGAGGCTTTGCAGTACGCGTTGGTAACCCATTAACACTTTCAGAGCAAAAACTATGAAACTTTTTTTTATGTCTGTTTTTCGGATATTTTTAAAAATTAGGACTGTCTGTCAAAGTAGTCCTTAACTTTTGTTGAAGTCTGTAAGTGCCGGAGGTTAGAGCAGGTGTTATTACAGAGTAACATAAAATTGGGAAGAGATAAGAACGAATATGTTTGATAGGAAGGAAAGAGCAAACTGCACCAGGGCAGCTGCCAACCACCCACGTTTTAACATTATAACAACTCTTTTTGGTTACAACCCCATAAGAGCAAATGGTCGCTGTTTGGATCTTCCCGTCCAGTTTCCCATGTTAAGAAGGAAAGAGAAGGACAATAAATGTTTGATAGGAAAGAAGGAACAAACCACACTAGAACACCCCCCAAGCATCCACTACAATATCCTCTGCCATGTGAGATTGGGTTTGAGTTTGATTAAAGAGAAGTGCATCTACACAGTAACGATAGCTTAGTGCAGGGAAGAAACAAGACAGCCAGACAGACACAGCAGAGTGGAAAAAGAAGTAGGACCTACAAGTGACGCCCTCCAG